AGCCCACTTCTATAAAGCGAAAGGAGACTGCGACCATACCAGAGGCCACACCATCTTGGTCTTCATATCTTTTCGTACATAAACATAGTTTCAAGACTACCAGTAAATCAGTAATATGAGATGTATTCACCCTAGTTAGTTCAAGGTGATGATGTACTGGTAGTATAATTTTCTTGCATTGATATGCGTAGAGCTGACATTTCCTTCACACCTCATTGTCTCAACCATACTTACTTCATGGACTTACGCAGTCTCGGTCAGTGCTTTTTCTTGGGACATTAAGCCTTGATGATTAAAGGCTGACATTAGCCTTTTTGATCACTCGGATTTAGGACCGCAATCGCATATAGAAGTTAACACACACATACACACATTCGAGAAAAAGTAGCAGGATCAGTATGAAAGAGGATTAGCTAAACCATCATATGTCTATCTATGCCTATTCATTTTCATTTTTAATTATGAGCATATAGAAGAGGTAGGATAGAGCTGGATAGTCTTCTCGACCTGTGCAAGCGTGAGACTCTTGTAGGAATGAGTTCAAGCGCTGATGATGTCCATCAAATAATGGACGAAAGCTCAGCCCATTTTGACTCGAAGCGAGTGAGGATGCCTCGTGGACTGCGTCAACCTTAACGTCGTAATGAAGCCAAACGACTGCAGTACATCGGGATTCAGCCATCGCCTTTTGGTGAGATCAACGTACGAATCTCTTGTTCGTACACTTTCATGCGAAATAAACGTCTCTCCGAAACAAATATATTGACGAAGAAGCGAAAAAAATTAGCATACGAATCAAGGAACATCAAAGACATTGCAGGCAAATGGTACCAAAAGATCGGATATAGCGGAACCATCGCCTAAACTGGACACGAAATCAATTGGAAGGCAACAGAAAGAAGAGCCTAATATGGTGAAAACACAAAAAAACTAAAGATTAGGAAGGTCATTTACATCCTCAGGGGAAAAATGCAATTGAAAGGAGGCAGAGTTAGCAATAACTTTACCTATGAAACTTGGAGAAAACAAGGATACGACAAGACGAGCAAGAGGGAGAAGCCTGGATCACGAATCTGTCGTAAACCAGAGGAAACGGGATCACAAGGAAGAAGAGTGAGGCAGTTTCGCAAGTAAAGCGAATACTGTCTCAGTGAGTGTAATATGAGATGTATTCACCCAACTTCGTTTAAAGTAGTAGAATTTTCCCACAATCATATGAGTAGAGCTGACGTTTCCATTGAATTTCACATAGCCCAGCTTCCCCAAAAGTTGTTCTCATCCAGGCACCAGTGGACTGCAGTTTCGACCTCGCATCGCTCTTATCAACACCCCCAGCGGGAGTCGAACCGTGACAGGGCAGAATGTGAGCTTGACACGTTAACCACTCGGCCACATTGCCACGAGTGCCCCTGGGTCACAGGGCAGATGTGAAATTCAAGGACGGCCAGGTCTTTTGCCACATCACATTCTTTGGTGGGCAAACGTATTTTTGCTATAACACTCAAATATGTTACTTATTTTTTTGCATTTAAGTATGGTTTCGATCAGTATATCAGTAATATGAGATGTATTTATATAAACCTATTTGAGATCTATTTACATTTCCCGCTGGTTTCCATATCCCTCCCACTCTGCCGGGAGTGTTGATCCAAGGCTGCGGCTTCCCCGAACTTCATTTCTGTTCTGTGGCCTAAGCTAACTGGTTGCAGTAGGGCGTGTTGGTTGACATGTCGAGACTAGACGCGACACTAGCACAATACGAGTTCGAGTCCCCTTGGGGATGCTGGTGAGACAAGTTCAGACGAGGTCAAAGCGGCATGTGAAATTCACTGGAATCATGAAATCTACTCAGAGCATAGTGGAAAAATTCAACGACCAGTCCTTCATCACCCTAAACGAAATGGAGTGCATACGGTTCTTATATCAACTTGTACCAACGGTTGCAAATTTGAGTATAGTAAAATTATTTACTAATTTGCTCTTCCGAAAATCTCAAATTCTAAAAAAGATGGCTGGTGTGGGGGTAATGCTATTTCCTGAATGAAAAAGTTCGTTAACCGTTGATGCTACTATATGAGCATAGGAACAAACATAAAACAAAGATAGACATATAAATGAATTGATTACATTCATGAAATTCATATATCTCTGAAGTGTGATAGGTAGTGTGCCCGTTGGTTTTCTTCACTCGGTGTAAGCCTTATGCTTTTAATAGACACTGGAAGTCGTTTCCTGAGTTTCACCTCTGCGGTCGTTTACTTTGATGGGAACCATAAGAGAGAGTCTAGGCAACCTAAATAGGGTTGAATGCTAAAGTAAACTAACAAAACTGCACACCAACAGTAATCTGGTTTGGTAGTATTGTCACATCGAACTTCAAATGTCTTCATCAGACAGCTTCACACGGAGCCTAATGCACTCAATCAACTTCCCGATAGCTTCAAATACAAAGTCTGCTATAAAACACAAACTGAATTTCTTGGCAAAAATGGCGTTGAACGAGAAGGACCTTTTCTGTCTGAAAAGTCATACTTGGCAGGTGAGACAATGGCGCCAAAGGGTCGTTTCTCAGCCCATTCGTGCATGATTCGAATCACGCACGAGGTGCTGATCAGACAATATTGAAACTTCAGGTCTTTCGGGATGCATTGTCAAGTGAAATTTAATGCCAACTTCAAACAATCTCTCCTAATTATTCGTCGGTAGACTTTGTCATCAGACCAACCCTGCATCCTTCGCGATTGGTCTACTTCTAGAAGGATCTCTTTTGACTCAAACCTGCATGCTTGACTGACCTCGCAGTTTGGGGCTCAAAGCAGCCGAGGAGTCACCACAACGCAGAGGCCTAAGGGGGATGTGAGAGGCAACAGCTACTCACTTCTTCCTCGCTCAAGGTCTCCAGCATACCCATCCCTCATGTGGGGTTGTAGCCAAGGTGGCATGAGACTGGAGGTGTGGTGGGCGGATGTTAGGCTTATTGTTGGAGGCCAAGATGAGCCTTCGATGCTGTCAACTGGGTTGGACCAGTGACACTTCTGCTTGGAGGAGGATGCTCTCGTAACGAAGGAGGAGGAGGAGGAGAAGGAAGAGAATGAGGAGAAGGAGGAGGAGGAGGGGAAGAGAGGCAAGGGGGATAGAGAGATCGGGCCAGAGGGAACATCTGCCGCTGCTCGTTTAGATGCCTGTCCGGTAGCGGCAATTCGTCGTGGTCTGCTAACTGGAGCAATAAATCGGCCAAACTATTAGCCCGACGTCATATTTCGGTCATAATTGCATCCTTTTCCACATGCCCGTCTCGTTTAACAGGCAGACAAAGGCAGAACTATACTTTGTAGGTCGCGGAAGTTAAAGTGTGGTACAGTGAATCCGATTTCGTTGCTGCTCTTGCCTTCCAGCCGGTCAGAGTGAGGCAAGTGATCCTTTTGCAGGGCCGTTTGCTCCAATTTCAATGGACAATAGTCATTATGTAATTAAAGACAAGCAGGTGTACATTTGTGGAGCCTCTTTAACAAGTCCACGTCGTAAAGTTGATCGAGTTTGCACACCCAAATCAAGTGGGTTCAGGGCTGTTTTGGAAGCAGCTTCGGTGTCTTTTGCTTCCTGGTGGGCCAGCAGTGGGCGCCCATTTGTAACCGCCATCGGAGACCGGCTCACATGATGAACAACTTTCGTCAATTACTGAGCCAATAACATGAATCGCCTCTGCTCCGGACAGCAGGTTCTGACGGTCTTTTGCCGCATCCCTCGGTCTGTCGTCGTGACTACAGGGTGGATTGATCAGAATGGATTGCGAGAAATTATGCTTCAATCAGTTCTATTGAAGTGGCGGGTATTTGGTAATACCTTTAAGGGTGAATTTGAGCAGTTAAAGATGTGTAAAGAACTAGTTTGTGCTTCAAGTTTCAGTTGCCCCAACAACTCTGTGCATACTTAGTGCAGGCCTGTTTCCAAATTCTGTCTTACAATTTCTACAATATCGCATTGGAGACAGTCGTTTGGGTTAAGCGTACGAGTTCATGAGGAAGTATATTGTAAAGAGGAACATGCATTAATCCCGTAGTTTAATAGAATATATGAAGACCAAGATGTTGTAACCTCTGTTATGGTCTCAGTCTCCTTTCGATGTATAGAAGTGGGTTGACCTCGTTGTCGAAACTTGGTCTTGTTGTCAGGGCGACTATGTAGAACGCATCTAGTTCGAAGTCGTCTGCCATAGTAGTTGTCATGATTCCCTGCATCTGACAGTGGACTTGGTACATTCTCAAACGTTTCGCCGGCCTCGTAGTCGGCATCATCATTGAACTTTGCCATTATCCGCACCAACCTACGAACTCGCCAAAGAGACAAGTGAAGTCAATCCCTCGACAAACGTTCTGCCGGAAACGGTTGCACTATCACTCCTCTTTCTGTCATTGTCTATCTATCTACTCTTTTCCCTCTTATCCCACTTCTTACTTGTTTACATTCCAATCATCAAAATGGGATTAGAGGTTAAAGAGTGTATAGATAGGCCAGGACAGAAAGAGGAGTGATGGTGTAACTGTTTTCAACAGAACGTTTGTCGAGGGATTGACTTCACTTGTCTCTTTGACGAGTTCGTAGCCTTGTGCGGTGAATGGCAAAACTCACTGATGATGCCGACTACGATGCCGGCGAAACGTTTGAGAATGTACCAAG